AGTTACAGAAAGTTCTTTTTCTTTCTTTCTTTTCTTTTACCAGTAGTCTATGTTGTAGGACCCCAAGTGAATTTTGGGGGAAGTAAGAGATGGTGAGAACTGACCCATGGTTTTCCACTAACCTTCATAATGGCAGTATTCAGAGGTCAAGCATCTGGGCTCAGAAATAATGAAGTGATTTAGTGAGGCATTCGTCCCCTAAACATGCAATCCCGGCCTCCTGTGTGTAACAATTACAAAAGGGAAAAACATGTTCTTGCCTTCCCTCCCTTTCTTCTTTCCTCTCCATTTCTTTTTCCTCTTTAGGAATGTTTTAACTGCTCTTGTAAAGATGATACGTGCTTATTACAAAGAGATTTAAGCAGTGTAATATAAATATACTTCATCTTTTAAAAGTTGTCTTTATGATTTTCATTAGGATCATTCCCCTTTTAGGATTAGGAAGTCTTATTTTCGTTGTTTCTGTCTGAAACGTAAGTGACGACACATCTGATAGCATGATTCTGGCTGGCTTCAGAGCATCTCCATGCCACAGGATAGGCTGTGTTGGATCATTGAGGCACCTTGTTGAGGCCTTCATTGTAAGGTTTTGTTATTTCAAGATATCTTTCTTCTTTCACTAGAAGAAATTTAGTGATGTGAGATGATGAAGTTATGACATTTATTGATACTATTGATACTCTGAATTGAATTGACTGGTTTCATTCTTATTCTCTCTTCAGTCTGTGTGTGTTCTCTGAGTCTGTGTGCTGGTAAGACCTCCCTGAGCAGAGCACATTGCATCATTCCAAGGTATGTGAATGAATAGATATGGATTCCCTAATCAAATTCTTCAGCCATTTTTTTTTTTTGAGAGATTTTCGCTATAGAGCACGTGCGCTCGCCAGACAGACAGAGAGAGACAGAGACAGAAAGTGAGAAATCACCCCCCAGGGGGGATGGTCACGCCACAATCCCTTCTTCCCCATTCTCCTCTCGGGATCTTGGGCACGCACGCACACGCGCCCGGTGTGAGTTTTAAGCCACCGGGTCCGGGACACGAACCACGGTTGACTACATGGGAGTCCAGCAACATAGCCATTATGCTAACTGCTGGTTTCCAAATTCTTCAGCCATTTTGAGAAAATTATTATTATTTTTAAAAAGAGTTTTTTTCTTTAAGCTGCATGCGCTTGCTGGTAAAGAAAGAGAGACAGAGGCCATGAGAGGGAAAGTGAGAAATCACTCCCTAGTGGGGATGGCCAAGCCAAAATCCTTTCTCCTCCATTCTCCTCCTGGGGTCTCGGGCACATATGCTCATGTGTCTGATCTGATTTTCAAGCCACTGGGTCCAGGATTTGAACTGCATTGGTCCATGTGAAAGTCCAGTGATATAACAGCTACATCATCTGCTGGTGCTTGAGAAAGTTATTTTTAGGAAAGCTCAAAGAGTTTTATTTTCCTACATAAGTTTTGTTTTTCCTTTTCTTTTAAATTCTACATACAAACCCCGATTCAAAAAAATAGCCCCTAAATTTAATTGCACATGATATCTTGGTACCCTTAGTCTTTGGATCTCAAAGTGTTGCTTATATTTTGTTTTTACGAATTATGTCTCAGTAAGTGTCATTGAAAATACTTTCTGGGGGAATTTTTTTATTTTTTAATTACGTTAGGTTTACATGTGTGGTAGACTTTCTAGGGGAATTTTTTGATTTTTTAATTACGTTAGGTTTACATGTGTGGTGTTTCAGATGGAAGGAGGAGAAATACTTCACTGCACATAAAGAGAGAGAAAGAAAGTAAGAAAACACCCCCATAGAGCATGGTTACACTGCAATCCCTTCTCCATTTCTCCATCTTGTTGGCATTTGGGGTTTGCATGTACATGGTGTATTTTTCAAGCTGCTGGGTATGGGAACCAAACTGTGCTTATCAGCCATGTGGGATCCAGCCACCTTAACCACCACACCACCAGCTGTCCTGTAAGCATATACTATAAGCAAAACTCAGTGACAGACCTGAGTTCCGTTGCCTCAGTCTCCTGACAGTGGAACTGTAGGAGGCAAACAATAAATGTTGCCACTGTGCACTGGAATCCACCAGCACTTGAACTCTTTAGAAAATGGGTGATGTGATTAACCTATTTTACAGCCTCTGAGCATCAGGAAGGTTTTGAAGTTGTGGGGAACTCTTGATCATTTACTTTGCAGAGAAGACAATATCTCAGTACTTTGGAAATGTTCTAGACTTGCTTACTTTCCACTACTGCTCCCTTAGCAATATCTTCCTACAACTTGGCTTTGCCATTTGCATTTGAACTTTACCTCCTTGCTCATCTTTTTCTTGCCCCCACCTTCAGATCTGCTTGACTGTGATGCCACAGTCTTCACCTTCAAAGAAGAGGCATTTGGAAATGCACCTGCAGTGAGATTACTGCTCATTGACTGCTGTGATATACTGAAATCACGGATCTTGAACTTGATCTGATCTTAAGAAGGAGTGTGGGAGGAAGAGCAGATCAAGTAGGATAATGTGTTGAGAAAGATTTGTCGAGGTTCATTCGCCATCTATTGCCCATTTTCCACAGACCAGGTGCTGTGTGTGCTAAGTGTAAGGATATGGGATGAACAAAATGGATGTACTCCCTGCTCTTGCAGATCTGCAAATTTAGGAGACAGAGAGCTGTCATAAATGGGAGGTTTGGGTCAAGGATAGCTGAGGGATTTAGTATAGTATCTGGTGCTCCAAGAAAGACCTTTTGGGGTACTGAATGCAAGCTGAAAAGTCTTCAAAACTCTGTTGTTATAGTCACTGTTGTTCTTGTAAGCTCCATTCTTGACAGACATTAACTATTATGTTAACCGAGCATGTACAATTTCGATTGTTAGCTGAGTCTTTGGAAGACTGTGCTACCAAAGCAGTGTGAACAGTGGTATGAGAGGCAGCAAAGCCCCATGAATGCTAGTACCAATACAATTATTAGAGGACTAATTTAAGAACATCATATGTTTTACTACTACAGTTCCAATGTCAGGAGACCGAGGCAATGGAACTCAGAAAGTCTGTCACTGAGCTTTGCTTACAGTATATGCTTGCAGGCCAGCTGGTGGTGCGGTGGTTAAGGTGGCTGGATCCCACTTGGTTGACAGGACAATTTGGGTCCCAGACCAAATAACTTTAAAAACACACTATGTGCATGTGCATGCAAGCCCCAAATACCAAAAGGATGGAGAAATGGAGAAGGGATTGTAGAGTAACGATGCTCTATGGGGGTGTTTTCTTTCTCTCTCTCTCTTTGTGGTGAGCACATACCTTATAGCAAATTTGTTTTTGTTTTGTTTTTTGAGAGTTTTTTGCTATAGGGCACATGTGCTTGCCAGAAAGAGACAGAGACAGAAAGAGAGAAATCACCCCTTGGGGGGGATGGCCACTCTATAATCCCTTCTCCTCTATTCTCCCCTCGGGATCTTGGGCATGCACACACATGCACCTGGCATGAGTTTAAGCCACAGGATCTGGGACTCCAACCACAGTTGACTACATGAGAGTCCAGCAAAATAGGCATTATGCCAACTGCTGGTCCCATCCCTATAGCAAATTTGAAAAGTTATAGCATATGTTCACTAAACATTTGATGAATGAGTAAATGGTTGAATGAATTGACATCATCCTTTATGTATCTCTGAAGATGTCTGTCCATGTATTCTGAGGTTTCTACTTATTTTACTTAGTGATTCCTATAGTTTCTTTATCTGCAAAAGTTTGATTAGAAAATGTATATGAAGAGTTTTTAAAAGTTCACGGAAAATGCAGATTATGAAGAAACTATGCATGGATTTCTATTTTTTTTTGCACATCATATCTTAATTCTATCTTTTATGAACTTTTCAAAGTACTCTTGTTCTTCTGAAGGAAGTTAAGATAACCACTACATTTTACCAATATTATTACTGTTATTATTATGTCATTATATTTAGTGAGCCATGGCATTAAATCTTATGGGAACCAAAGTCAGACAAGCATATTTTGAAAACTATTAGCTATAAAATACTAATATTTCAAGAACTTTTTTTATTTTTCTGCCAAGGAATAATAAGTGAAGAGGCTTTATTGTTTTAAGATTCACCCATTTCACAGATTTATAATATGAGAGTTAGAAACTTTTCTACATTTTACACTGAAAATCAGGGGCAGATGGGAGCTAGAAACTCAGGAATTTATTTCTTCATCTTGTACTTAATCAATTCGAGACAGGCTGTCTCCAGACTATATTTTCTTTTTAATAGCCATAAAGTAAATGAACTCAAAAAATAGTCTAGTGTCCTGCTGTGATTGATATGAAAAACGACAAGGGAAGAAAAGATTTTTCATTAATGGATTTATATTCCAGTGATAGGGCTAGAAGGTGGAAAGGTCATTCTGAAAAGTAAAGTGAAATATAGAACATGCCGAAAAATTATCTTGTTATCTGACTCAGAGACATGAGGCTGCACGTTATCCTCTGTTCGTTTATTTTTTCTCCTAGTTTTCCTTTTATTTTTAGATAAATGTGAGTCAGACAGACGAGACAAGAGTAATTTTTAGAAACTCTCTTCCTTTGCAAGCTTTGGATGTAGAGTTTTGTTCTTTTAATATAGTCTGATTAGAAGTGCCATTTGATTGTAAAGGAAAAAAAAACGAGAAGTGAGAAATTAAATCAGACTTTGGGAATAAATTGGAAGCAAATCTTTTTAAAAGTGCAGGTTACCCTTTTGCCATATACATTAGGCTGTAATCAGGCAGAATTTAGCAATTTAAAAGATAAAATTGAAGTTCTTACCAGATTATGTAAAAAAATAAACAGAAGTGGAAAGACATTCTAACGCTGAAATGAGTTGTTAGTCGAATAAGAACATAGGATTGGAAGATAACTACTTTGGCAATCTTGTGTTTGCCGATTGGTCTCTTATGTATAAACAACATCACTCATTTTTAACCATTACTTAGTCAGAGATACTTACTTTTTTAAAAATGTGCATATGGAACCTTCGGCCCTGGAGTCTAAAGGTGTTGTCCAAGTCTCTGAGTTCAAATCCGGTTTGTCTGTTCTTTCCCCATCCAGAAGTTCTGAGGTATCTACAAGCAAGCTTATTGTGGAGGCAGAAGAATACAACATGGTGTGTTCTCCTCCCTGCACATCCAGACACATGCTGATGTATTGGAAGATAATTGAGTATGTACCAGGCATGGCCGCATTACCCAGGAGGGTAGGATTCACTCTCTCCCAGGAGGGTAGGTTTGGGGTGAAGCAGGACAGCCACGGTTTTATGGAGGAGAAGAAAAAGCCAGTTGGCATAACCCTTCCTTGCTCACAGGCTTAGTCGGTCATCTGAGATGGAAGAGTCTGCACAAAATGGCTTAAAACAGTGACATGGAAGAAATATTTGTAGAATTGGCAGATAAAATACATGACATGTTATTAAAGGTTAACTTCAAATGAACAACAAATAACATGTTAAGTGTACAATGTATGGGACATTTTTTAACAGAATTACTCTATTTAACTTTATTTATTTATGTATTTATTTTAATTTGACCAGAGAAGAGAGAGAGAATGAGAGAAAGAGAGAGAGAGAAAGCAAGTTGCCAGGTCCGAGACTCAAACTGCAGTCAGTCATGTGGGAATCCAATACCCTTAACCATCACACTGCCTGCTGGCCCCATATGGGACATTTCATAGTCTCTCATTATTTGTTGTTTATCAGAAATGCAAATTTGACTGGGCATTCGTAATTTAATTTGGCATAACTGGCTCACTATGCATTTGGGTCTTGTTGAAGTGTCCTGTGTAAGGCAGGAAGCGCTAGGAGAAAGGCTGAGAGTTAGGTTGAGGCCTCCACATGGGAGATCTGTTTCATGCCCTACGTGGGGTAAACAGATTAAAGCAGGGTTACTGTACACATGGCTATCTGGTTAATCCTATGGCTGGAATAATTTCTGCACTTAGTTAAAAACAGCAAGTAATTTGAAACCAGCATCGTCTCTAATGGAAACGATTTTCCCTTCAAAGACTCATAACACAATAAATTACAACAAAGACCTCTTAATGTCTGATGATTCTTTTTGACATAAAGAAAATGTGGGAGAAAAAGGAAGAAATGCTTGGGCTGGAGAGAGGAGTTATATGAAACCAGCAGGATAAAATCAGATACATTAATATATATATATATATATATATATCACATACATATATGGTATATATGCTTTTACTGTTTAACTTTTAAGTGGGGCAACAGACAGATGAAATTGTATTATCCCTGTGCAAATCCCACCTAACCTAAACCAAACTGTAGTTCGGCTCTGACTCAGGACCATGGCATTCTTCCCAGAGTCACAGAGGAAGACATTGCATGGGGACAATTGAGAATCACCCTGAAGAAGGCAGGTAACATTTTTGTGTTTATTTAAACATTAAGGGTCATGAATTACTTAAAAAGCTATTTCGTTCTTGCATTTTTGCTTAGTGGTGCCCCGTGTATCTGTGACGTGGTAATGTGATACATCTACATTTGTGGTATTGGTGGAAAGGAGGCATCTAAACACCTCACTATAGCATTTAGAAAATAACTTCGTTTGTGAGAGCAGTGACTGCATACCAATTCGGATTTCTCTCGCCCTCCTCATTAAATATGTGACTATGTCTTTGTTTACTTTTCTCCTCCCTCCAGAAAGGATTTAAAGAGCTCATAAATATGTGTGAGACCTGTCACTCCGACACATGTGGCTGCTCAAGCATTTTGATGATTGTACATTTTAAAGTAAAATGCAAGCACTTTGTGATAAGGGTGTTTTGGGGAAGAGTTATGGCAGTCATTGCATTTTACCAATGACATTTTATCATTACTATTTCATCCTTTCTAATGAACATTGTTATTAAATCCTGTAGGAACTATAGTATAAGCAAATACATTTTGAATACCACTAGATATAGAAATTCGATTTGACTTGGAGAACTTGCCTTTTTTTTTTTTTTAATTTCATAGCGTATTCTACTGTCCTGTGCTTTATTCAGCCTGTTTTCACTTTAGATGAAGTTAAAGAAAGACAAATATTGAACTGTGGTAAACACAATCTGAGCTCCATCATCAACACTTTCGTATAAACACCAGACAAATAATCAAAGTAAATGTTGGTCATAATGAATGATTTTGATTTATTATGTTTACTTGGATTATTAATATTTATACTTTGGTAGGCATGCTATTTTTGCTTAAAAAGAAAGTCCTATTAGTAATCATGAATGGTAGATGACAAAAGTTAAATTAATTTTGAAAAATAATTATTTAATTTAATTTATTTATTAATTTATTTTTAATTTGACCAGAGAAAGACACACACACACACACACACACACAGAGAGAGAGAGAGAGAGAGAGAGAGAGAGAAAGTGAGAAAGCAAGAGGCCCAGTTGGGGATTTGAACTGTGGTCAGCCAGGTGGGAGTGTTCTGCGCCTTAACCTGCTGGTCTCAATAAAAGCTAAGTTAATTTTTTAATCACGGTCTACTTGAGATTTTTATCTGCCCGGAAAACAATGTAAATGTTAGTAAGAATGGCTTAGTGGTTAGGAAAACATCTTTGATAGCAAGGGCATCACATTGGAATGGGCTGTCTTTCCAGTGTTGTCAATGATGTGGCAGGCGTGTTGTCAAATGTACTGGGCTTTTGCTAAAGCTGATAATGACAATATTAGGCTCCAAATGAGCTTGTACTAATGGCTGAATCTCACAAGATGAAGTTCAATTTAAAACAAATGAAACACATAGTTCTTTATTTGGGCTCAGGAAAACAACTGGGAAAATAGTTTACATCGACAATGGTAGGAAACAATAGTCTAGGACTTACGTCTCTAGGTAATAGTTCACTGTAAGTCAACAGAATGGTGGGACTGCTATTAGTCTAATAAGATTTAGAGTCATCTTCTAAGATTTAGAGTCAACTTCAAAGCAAATTTGCTAGGCTAAGGAAGAAGCGATAACCCCAATCTACATTCCACAGTGGTCAAACTTTTTTTTTTTTTTAAATCCTGAGTTCACATCTAGATACCAAACTTTAAGAGCATGCTTTTCAAAAAATAAATGATGTTCTTGATGAGAAAATATCAAACCATGTCAAAAGAAAAAAAAAAAAACAAAGCCTGGAGGAGTAGAAGATATTTTACTTCGAGAAAATAAATTTCTTATTGCTAATCAGAAAGAGGCTACTTTTCTCTGATGTTGAATGTGGTCTAGAACCAACAGATTGAAGTGCACTTATAATAAATGGACTTATAGTCATTCTGTGTATAGAATGGGCTGTCATAGAATATCCCTATCTCTCACTGTTGGAGAGGCTGGAAACATAATTTATACATTGGATCTAGATCTATAATTTTCTATTCCTTTCTGTATCTGCAACTCTACAGATGTTTAGGGCATTTGCATGTTTTTTGGGAATAAGTACCTTCTAAAACAACCAGTTATTTCAGGAAATTCAGAGACATTTAAAAATATAAACAAACAAAAAACCCACCGACTAGTCTTTGCTACTATGTAGATAAAGCAACTTGACTGGAAATTTCAATTTTGAGACATATTTGTCTAGAAGATGTAGCTTTTTTTTGTGGTTATTGGATCATCTTGTCTATATACATGACTTTTCCATTTAACTCTCAAAATAAAAAGGCAAAATGGGTAACAGGAAATACACATAAAACCCTGATCAAAGCAGTTCCTAAAGTAGATTAGCCATAAAAGTTCATTACGATCAGAAAATTTGTGTTGCTTACACATCTGTACCATTGTTTCTTTCCAGCCTTTAAATATACAATAAAAAAAAGCTCTAGATAACAAATGCTTGTTGAGTCTCAGCCAATGGTTCGCTTGTTTCCAGGAAAAATTGATATTATTACATACCCACATGACAGTCAGTCAGTCAGTCCCTTACTTATTTTGTTTTAATAAGATTAATAAAATCTATTCTATGATTTTTTCTTTTTATCAACATCCCCTTACTTTATTTTTTGCTAGCCACCAGCTGTTTTTTCCCCCCCACCACAAAATGACTCTAAACTACAAGATAATTATACAAAAAGAGATTTATTCCAAAAGTTATAGAGAGCCAACTATGTCAGCAATGGAAAGAACTAGTACATTTTGTTTTGAAATTAAAAAAAAAACCAAAACCCTAGATCTGGCAATGTGTCTTCTTAAACCCCAAATACTCTTGACTACAAAATTCCAAATGAAGAAGCTCACCTTTTTTTTTTCTTCTTCTTCTTCTTCTATTTATTTTTAAAGCTAAGAGGTAAAATTTGGGGGCATCTTTACATAGCATCCTTGTAAAGTAATAGAATGTTCGAATGTAGAATGTTAACTTATGGGACAAATTAGCTAAATGAAATGGCTGAATGCTTTGTATCGTTTGTCTGTATTGAACTTTCACAACTAGGAGTAAAATCATGATGAGACTTTTGATATATTCCTTAGTTAAAAACTCTTGACATTAAATTCCATTAGTATCTTGCTTTCTTTCCTTTCTTGATATCTTAATATTTCTAGAAGGTACACTTAGTTCTAGAATTTAGGAATCAGTTACAAAAACTCAAACCAGACTTGTCCTGCCAGGGTTGTCTCAAATTGTTGTTCAGCAAATAAACATTTAGGCTGAAATGTAGGTCACATTCTGCCTCCAGAGTCTTATTTTTTTCCATAAACCAAGCCAGTTCAATTCACAGCTTTCTAGGCAAAATATCTAGTTAGAACCTAATGTCTGAGGACACTACACTAAACTTGTGCCTTAAGATATAAACACTAAGGAGCATGGCAAAAATGCTTGAGGGATAGACAATCATGTTGAAAAAGTACTTTAGATCTTCAGCTCTCTAGGAGACGAAAAGAGAGGCTACCCTGCTCTTCTGTGTTCTAACAAACCCTTACCATATGAAGGGCTTGCTCTAAAGCATTTCAGTGTATACTATGTTATCTATTTAAAGAGCAGATTTGTACATGCAAAGCACGCATTTTTGAAAAACAATTCACAGTGCAGATATTAGGTCTTGTGGTCACATATCATTCTAATAGAGCTGTATACTGAACATAACTTTTAATTTATGAAAGAGTTTAAAGCCTGCTTGTTGCAAAGGATTAGGTTCTATCCTAATTACTTTCTCAGAAGATCCTGTGGAAAATTAGAAGCATCCCACAAGGCAATAAATGTATGACACTAAAC